TGTCGGGGGGTCCTGCTGGCCCTGGTGACGCTGCTGGCCTTCGCCACCCGCTTCCATCGTCTGGACCAGCCACCTCACGTCTGGTGAGTGACGGGCGGGACTCGGCGGGCACCGTGGTAACCTGGAAGGAGGGACGCGTCCTCTGATTGGTCGTGGGGCACGGAGGGGGCGGGATCCACAGGAGGAGGGGCGGGGTCGCGCTGAAAGGGAAACTGAGGTTTCCGGTGTTTGCCTCTGGCTAATAGCAGTCTGAACCTTTGCTCCGGTGGGTGGCAGTGGGATTCTTGGGATCTGAGGAAGCAGCCTGGATGCCTTCCAGGTTATGCTGCAGGGTCTCACCTGGCTCTTAAATTGTGGCTCTTAAAGAGCTTTCCAAGGAGAACCGGAAATCCTTAGTACCGAATTTCCTAAGGTCTGAGTTCCTGATCTGCAGAATTTCCAAGCATTAGTGGAGGGGGAAATTCTTAACTGGGTACCTTGATCCTTGGGAGCAGGGACAACTTGGGTGTCCCGGGATGGTGACAGGGGTTCTAGGAAGCAGATCTGGGGCCATCCTGTGAGGAGATAGTTATTTTCTGAAAGATTTTAGTTTGTAGAGTCAGTTGCAGGACTGAGGTATGGTCAGATTTCATTAGATGAGCTTAAAACGTCGCCAGCTGGGAGGAGGAAAAGTTTTATACAATCTGAAGATGGTTCATTTGTTTGACCAACAAGTGATACCATATTTTCTCATTATCACCGAGGAGAAAGTTAGTGTTGGGGTGTTAGAAATGGAACTCCTAAAAAAGCAAGCACACTAACAAACTGCTAGCTTGTAAGTTAATAAATTAGCTTGTTGTTTCATGAGTTTTGGCAGAAGAGATGAGACTCCTGGGTCAGAGACAAAGGACATTTTACCACCACACAGGAAGCAGGATGAATAGTGGCATGTTGGAGTCCGTTTCCCTTGTCCCCGCAAGTCCCACAGGGTCATGCTCTGGGCCCAGATGGATGATTGCACACAAGTGGGTTTCTTTGCAGCTTTGAGGAACAACAGCTTGGGGAATGTACTATTTTATAGCAAGCAGTAAGCAAACTTACTTTTTGTCCTGGTGAGTGACATTACCTCTTTAGTCATAGTTGCTTGGTGTAAACACAGCCCTGAGAAATGGCCCAGGTAAAGTGCAATCAGGGCCTTGCATTCTTGGCATACCCAGCAAGATGTGTGGACGTACAAGAGACTCACGGAGGATTGTATCTCCCAATAGTCTCACCCCTTGATCCTACACTGTCTTGGTTTCTAGCAAATTCTCACATGAATATGCAACTCCATTGGCTACTCTGATTAACTTGGCTGACAGAGGCAGGGACCAGATCTGTTCAATTTGTTCATTTAATGAAGGCTGCTTTCATTGCTAAGCAGCAGGATGAGGCCAACTTGTGCTAATCTCAACCATGTTCCCCAGGGTTCTAGATCCAACCACCTGTGAATAATTAAGTGTACAGATCAGGGGGTGAGGAAAGGACCAGTAGGTCTTATTTTAGATAGCTGGGATATAGTTTGACCGTTCAGTGGTTGAGCATCGACCTAGGAACCAAGAGGTCACAGTTCAATTCCCAGTCAGGGCACATGTGTGGGTTGTGGGCTCTGTCCCCAGTAGGGGGCATTCAGAAGGCATCTGATCAATGATGCTTCTCTTATTGGTGTTTCTATCTATCCCTCTCCTTCCTCTCTAAAAATCAATAAAAACACATATATATTTTAAAAAGTCTGAGACCAGTATGTTATCCATTATGATCTCTGCACAGATATTTAGACTGACTTCTAATCTTTGGTGTCATTGTCAATAATTACAGTGGGTCTCCATTAAAAAAAAAGCAACTTTCATGCCCAATGGGAAGACATTCTGTGGCCCACTCTTCCTAATATATTACCTGAAGGGGTACAGGCCACTCCAATTCAGGACTTTTTGTAAATTTTATTTGGATCACCATGAAATTTGATTTAGATTGCATTACAGTAGTTTGGTTAAGCCACATGGGCAGTGAGTGTCACTGAGTTGTTGCAGCCTCAGTTGCTGTACGAGGCATAACCTAAGGCCCCTAAAGTGTTAGGAGGAGCATATGAATTTGTATTAGATTGAGAGAAGGTTGTTCCAGTTTGTGTGTTTGTACACATACGGTATCTGTGTTTGGGAGTTGATACTATCAGGCAAGTCAGAATAGTTCAAGATAGGCCACATCTACGTGAGTTTTTCTGATTTCATAGCACACTGACAAACTCAGTAGAAAGTCAGATTGCCAGCTACAGCTGCCACCTGATTGAGATGGACCATATGGATGTTTACCAGGCATTGGTTCTGGACCTAGAGGAGAAAGGATCATTAATTGTTTCCCTTTTCTTTACGTTTCCTGAGGCCTAAGATGTTACCTTCCCAGCTTCCAAAATTGTTTCTTTTCTTCCTCTGCCATCATATAATTATATTAGGGTGTATCACTTTAGTACCTGTAACTTCACCTTTTCTCCAAGTATCCCTTATAATATCCAGACCTTTTTTTGCCAAGACCATTATTAGAAAATTGGCAGAGACCAGATGAGTCACTGTAGGGGGCTTGACAAGCAGTGCACTCAACCAAGTGGTCATTATCTTTATACTCTAGGACCATGTCCCTCCAGATTCCGGTACTGAACTAGAATTAAGTTTGTATCCCATAGATGTCCCCAGGCTGATCTGGGGTTGCTGTTAGGGAATCATGCCCACGAATGGTTTGGAAAGAATCTCAAGTTTTCAAAATAAGTTTATGCAACCCTCTACCCCTTTTATTCTTACCATTACCCAATTGGTGGCCAAGAGGAGGTGAACCGTTTCTGGTGCTGACTACATTAGGTGACAGAGCTGTTTTACTAAGGTGTGTGAACCAGGAGAGAGTAGAGTCAGAAATCTTTTTGAGAGGACTGTTCAGTCCTTGACAATATCAGATGCCTGTGGATGCTAGGGAGTGTTGTCATCAAATATCTTGACTATTGGCCCATTATTGGGTGGCCATTGCAAAAAAATTAAAAAGCCACCATTGTCAGACTGTGGATGCTTTGGAAAGCTGGAAACATGACTTGGTTTAGTTTAAAGGTCCACATTGGTGTATCTTGAGTCAGATGATTGTACTGGAACAGCATCATCAATACCGTAATCTGAAATGAGGCACCAATGATACTCCAGAGGGGTAACAAAGTCCTACTGTAGTCACTTTCCTTGGAGCAGTCAATGCCTCGTGCATTTGGCTTCCTTTACTGAAAGACTAACAGGCCAACTTTTGGCTGCCACAATGCAGTGATGGCTTCAACTTCAGAAACATATAGTCCTTTACTTTGCACCCAGTCCACGATAGTAGATGTGTTTCCAGGCCTGGTGCAATGGCAGCAGTCTGTGGCACAAGTTTGATCAGCAGCTTAATTCCAGTCAGTCTGATCAGATGTACCAGCCCTTACCATGGTCATCCATGTGAGCGATCCAGGTTGTCCTATCAGTAGGCAGCCATGATTTTTTCCTGCAGTTCTTGGCTCCAAAGAGGGATGTTTTAATCTCTCAATACCTAGTCTTCCAAGTAGCACAACAGATGGCTAGGCCAATGGCAAGTGCCCGAGAATAAATATAACTTGTCTGTTCCTTAGGAGTATTGCCCAAGACAAAGGTTGTGAAATCTTCCAATTCAGCCCATTATGCCCATCACCCCTTATTGCAGGCAGCCTTCCGGAGTTGTCACGGGGGCAGGATGACTGCTGCTGCCAGTGGACTCCATCAGCTTTTAGTTTAGTCTAACCATCAGTGAACCAGGCACAAGCATTGAGAAGAACCTCTGCATCAAGGGCTCCACTGAGACAGCGGCTTTGCTTTAGGTGGTGAAGAGAAAGGTAGTTTTTCCCAAAGGAAGAGCTACCATCTCTTCATGTAAAATCAAAATGTCTAAGGCTGGGTCAGCTATACTCTTCAGTATACCATTTCCATTTGACCAGTGAGGCTTGTTGAGCCCTTTCCTTATTAGGCATAGATTCCAAGTTGGCCCACCCAAAGTGGCAGGGGTCCTAAAGCCTTCATGGCAGGCACTCAATTTCCACAAGAGCTTAATTAGTATGGTAGTAGGTTGATAGCTGCCCCTTTAAAAAAGTATGTACTTGGTGCCTGCGTCCAGCAGGGGGCGCTATTATCATGGAGAATTGCCTCTGGGCGCTCCAGCTGCCCATTCCCTCTTTAAAGCTGTGCTTTCCCTTTCTCTTCTTGGGATTTATATGTGTTTTTTTTCCCCTGGACCAAGGAGGGGATAGTATCAACTCAGCATGTGGCAGTCCCTGAATGGGATAATCCTCCTGTCTTTAAAGCTGTACTTTCCCTTTCTCTTCTTGGGATTTATATATATATTTTTTCCTGGACCAAGGAGGGGATAGTATCAGCTCAGCATGTGGCAGTCCCTGAATGGGATAATCCTCCTTGACACTTACGGGATCAATACCAGTTATACATTCAGCAGTGTAAGCCACAATAATGGTGAAGAGCACTACCCATTAGGTCACATTATCTTCACTTTCCCACTGGGAACTTGGTTCAAACCTTCCAATTGGATTGCGCATCAGTAACAATAGTGACAGCCACACAGAGATCACACCATTCCCCAGTAGTGAGTATGGGGAGTGCTGGATGCAGGGGGTGGAGGAAGTTTTTTCCTTCTTTAGCCCCTTGATAAGCTTGGCACCACTTCCTCCCCAGTGTACTGCCATGTGTCTGGTGAGCCCCGGGGCTTAGGGGCCCTTTTCTTTCAGTCCCTGTACACACTGCTGTGGCTCTCCATGCATTCCTCAGCACCTTTGGTAACCCCTGCACCCAGCAAATCCTCCTCTCATCGGATTGAGTAGGGAGGGTGGAGATGTGGGCCCCTGATTCCAATAGAGTCTTGAGTTTGAGTGCCTCTCCTCCCTGGAGTTGCCCAGCAAGGTAGGATGGGTGTGTATGGTCTTCAGGCCCCTTTGGGGACAGTGAGACCTTGGCCTACCTTTAATCATCTTACTCTTTAAAGCAGCTGAGGTTATGGTAGAAGGGGAGGGATCATGGGACACGGAGGAAGAAAATGGCTCTGAACATCTAAGCAAGGAGCATTTATGTTTGGCTTGAGTACACAGCTCACCCAAAGTTTTCATTTCACCTAAAGTTCTACAGTGAATATTAAGGTCCTTACTGCTGGCACCATTGATGTAAGCTTCAGAGACTTCTTGATTCAGCAGCCACATCCATATTGCCTTTGGGCAGGGGCTCCTAGGTTTGCTGCCCATGGACATGATCACATCTCTTCCTCCTCCCACCCAGAGGAGAGTGAGCAGTAACCAAGGCTTAGGCGGTTGGTTTCAATCCTGCCTCTCTCTGCTCAGCCTCATGCACAGATAGAACACTGAGGACTTTTACTACCTTCCCTGCCTATCACTGGGCAAGAGCATTCACTACCAGATTCTGGGGAGTCTTCTCATATCCTCTAAACCGGCCTGTGGGGGCGGGGGGGTCCTTGTCCTTTCTCTTATAGAAAGCTATCTCTCAGTATCCTATGCTTGTCGCCAAATACTGTCAGGATCTGGGATTTTATTTTACCCTACTTGCTTGCAAGCTAAGAAGTTAGCCTGTCACGGTTCTGTGGATGCTGACAGAAGACAAAGTCCTGGGTCAGAGACAAAGAACTTATTTTTCGTGGCACAGCAAGCAGGATGAGCATCAGCACATTGGCATTGGTTCCCTTTATCCCCAATTCCATGTGATGCCATGGGTGGATGAATGCCTGCATGCACACTGGGCTGCATCAGCTGAGGAATACTGAGCTTGGGGACTCCGCTGTGTTATAACAAGCAGGAAACAGACTGCTTCTCTTACAGAGGGAGACGCTAACTCTTCCCTCAAGGTTGCTTGCTTAAACCTAGCCCTGAGCAATGGCCCGAGTAAAGAGTGGTCAGGGCCTTGCATCCTTGGGACACCCTGCAAGGTCTGTGGGAGCAAGAGAGATCCAAGGAGGACTGTTTCTCTCAACACAAGCATGCAATAAAAGCCAAGAAGAAATGTGGATACTGCAATAGCAGGTCCTCTATTAACGTTGATTGACATAGTCTCGTTCATCGTAGTTTTGTTGTAATATCGAGATGCCATAGGAATTTAACTCTTGTTTATATCAATTATCCTATGGTAAAATTGTTTTTGTTATACATCAGTTTGCTTAAAGTCACAGAACCTATTGACGATGTTAAGTGTGGACTTACTGTACTAGTTTTACCTGGGACACTTTTGAAATGAAAAATCTCATACCCTTTTGTTAGTAGGTTTCCAAACAGACTTCATAGCTAACCACACATGCTGGTTCAGTTTAAATCGTGCCCAGCATATGTGAGACTTTTTAGTCCATAGAGTTTTTTCATGTGTGTCATCTGAATTGAGCCCTAAAACCTCCCTGTGAGTGATCATGGCAGATGCTGTTACTGTCTTCATTGTGTAGATGCGAATGGATCTGGAGAAGGTGAGTGATTTCACTAGGCTATGCTGTTAGGAAGGGCTGGCGCTGGACTGGATCTCTCTTGCTGCAGATCTGTTTTGTCACACTGCTTGGAAGTTATTTCTCCCTTGGACATCACCATTTTTGGGAAAAGCATCTTTTGCCTGTTAGGTTGCAGGTCAGTAATGAATAGTTACGGAAGCTGCCTGGAGATGGGATAGTCACCAGAAAGCAACCATTTCTGAGCTGCAGAGAGAGACTGACAAACAGAAATGGCCAGGCTCTGCTGGGTAATTGGGCTGCCACTGCAAAGCCCTCATGTGGGGTGTAAAAAGTTTGATGTGGTTTTCTTCCAAGGTTGTACCCTTGTATAGAAGAACAAGACTTTGCATTGTGTTCAAAAGGTAATGTGTTACCCGGCCAGTGTGGCTCAGTAGTTGAGCGTTGACCTATGAACCAGGAGGTCACGCTTGATTCCTGATCAGGGCACATGCCCGGGTTGCTGGCTCAATCCCCAGTATGGGGTGTGCAGGAGGCAGCCGATCAAGGATTCTCTCTCATCATTGATGTTTCTCTCTCCCTCTCCCTTCCCCCCTGAAATCAATAAAAATATATTTTTAAAAAAAGTTTTATGTCATTGTATAGAAGAACAAGACTGCACTGTGTTTAAAAGATAATGTGTTAGAATCACTTATTGCCTTGCAAAATTATTTGTGCAGTGAGAATATATTTTAGACTCTTAACTTAGTAAGAAAACCCTCAACTTTTACATAATAGTTAATTGTAATAAGACCAGCAAGTTCATAGTTAGCAGGTTAATTACCACAGGTTGATAAACAAAATCAGACTTCTGTAACACCATGGTTTCTAGGCTCTCTCTGATCAGTAGCCCATGATGTAGGTTGTGATAATAGTAATGTAATTTCTAGTAGCAAACGTAGTCTCAGAGTTTGAAGTTTAACAGCCTTGGAAGAAAACCCTTACTACAAACCTTTCTATATTATAAGAAAACTCTTCCTCTTTAAAATAAATAGAAACTCAAGATACAGAATAAGTATAGACTCAACTTAAATTTATGATAAATGGTTGGTAAATATTTGCTAACTTTTAAAAATTTATCTAAATGAAGTTTAATGACCAGCTTGATGTCTTGCTTCCTCAAATCACTATGTCAAAAACTTTTTTTTTTAATTCACATTTTCTCATTAATTGCTTGAAACTCATAGTCTTTGGTTTTAACTGTAATTTTAATCATGCTCTATTAAGGCTATTTGGGTTGTATGATAACTTAAAAATTCTCATTTCTCTTTGTTTTTCCTTTAGTTGGGATGAGACTCACTTTGGAAAAATGGGAAGTTACTATATCAACCGTACCTTTTTCTTTGATGTGCACCCTCCTCTGGGAAAGGTAAGCAGTGGTGAACAACAGCCAAGTCTTGGTTTTGGATTTAATTCTTGGCCTCATAGAAAGAATTCACTGACATTCCAGACCAGTTGCTTTCATGAAAAATCTTTGGTATTTTTAGGGGTCCTCTGGGCTCAGAAATGGAGAGAGAGTCCATCAACTGATGGATGGATAAGCAAAATGTGGTATATCTATACAGTGGAATATTATTCAGCTATAAAAATGGAATGAAGTATTGATACATGCTACAACGTGGATGAAACTTATAAACAGTATGCTAAGTGAAAGAAGCCAGACACAAAAGGCCACATATTGTATAAGTCCATTTATATGAAATGTCCTGAATTGGCAAATCCACAGAGACAGAAAGAAGATTAGTAGTTGCCAGGGTCTGGGGGGAAGGGGGATTGAGGAGTGACTGCAGATGGGTGCGGAGTTTCTTTTTGGGGCGATGAAATGTTCTGGAATTAGGCAGTGGTAATGGATGCACAATCTTGTGAATAAACTAAAAACCTCAGTATACTTTAACATGGTGAATTTTACAGTACAATGACTTTTATCTCAATTGAAAATAAGAAAAAATAAATGGAGAGAAAGAATAAAGCTTGGGAACTGGACCTCTGGAAAGGAGGCTTTTTGTAGGAAATCCAGCCTAGTCTTTCAGCCTGTGGCTTTTGGAGTCCCCTTGCGATGGGCACAGTGAAGACGGAAAACACTGGCTGATTTGTTTTTCCTGAGCCTTCCCTTCCTCACTTCTGGTCCTGTGTGGAGGGAGACACGTGAGGCTTCGTTCTAAGCCTGCCTCCAGGGAGTGCAGTCCACCTGCTCCTCTCACTTACCTCCTAGTGGTCCTGTGCTCTACCTGGCTGAAAGACAGTGATGAACAAATTAGAAAACTGTGAAAGAGAGCAGAGTAGCTTCCATAGGTTCCGAGGCTAAGCCAGTCAAAGCCCCTTTAAGGAATGAGTAGGGCATTTTCTCTTCCAGTACTGAAGCCCATACCTGACACTTCACACAGATCCCAGCCCTGGGCACCTGGGCTCCAGTCAAATAGGTACTATTAAAGAAATAAAAATGCCTGCACATAGTAAAAAACGTGATCGGTACAGAAGGAAATAGAAGGTCAAAAGCTACCTTCCCTCACATTTCGATTCTTCAGAGGTTACTCTATGGTCACCTTTGTTAAATTTCTTATCTATGCTCTCAGAAACTTTTTATACAAATACTAGAGGCCCAGTGCACGAAATTCATGCACAGGGGGGAAGGGGGGGGTACCTCAGCCAGGCCTGCACCCTCTCACAATCCAGGACCTTTCAGGGGATGTCCAACTGCTGGTTTTCATTTCAAACGGGCCAGATCCGGCCCGCGGGCCGTAGTTTGCCCACGGCTGCTCTTTGGTCACCTTTGTTAAATTTCTTATATATCGTCTCAGAAACTTTTTATACAAATACTAGAGGTCCAGTGCACGAAATTCATGCACGGGGGGTGGGGGGTACCTCAGCCGGGCCTGCACCCTCTCACATTCCAGGACCTTTCAGGATATGTCCAACTGCTGGTTTAGGCCTGATCCTGCAAGGATCCCTGCAGATTGGACCTAAACTGGCAGTCAGACATCCCTCTCTCAATCTGGGACCGCTGGCTCCTAACTGCTCGCCTGCCTGCCTGATCACCCCTAACCACTTGCCTGCCTGCCTGATTGCCCCTAACTGCTCCCTGGGGGGTGGGGCAAGCCCGGGTAAGGGGCAGTGGTGTTCTGGTCTCTGGTCATTCTGGTCATTTCCACCATTTCGGTCGCTGGGCTTTTATTATATAGGATAAGTGTGTACATATTTATAAACATAAATATTAGTTCATATGAACAGCACATTATGCAAACCGGATCAGACTAAAATTGTTCAGCAACTTGTATTAAAAAAAAAGAATAGTTTATTGATTTTTTTTTTTTTTTAGAGAGAGGGAGAGAGAAAAACATTAATATGAGAGCAAAACATAAATTGGCTGCCTCCTGTACACCCCCCCACAGGGATCAAGCCTGCAACCTGGGCATGTGCTCTGACCACGGCTGCCTCCTGTACACCCCCCCACCCCCACAGGGATCAAGCCTGCAACCTGAGCATGTGCTCTGACCAGGAATCAAATTGGCAATCTTTCATTGTACAGGACAATGCCCATCCAACTGAGCCATACCGGTCAGGGTAGCAACTTGTGTTTTAAACATGATGTTTCTTCAATTCTTTCCACATTAGCACATAAAAATGTATTCCATTCTTTTTAATGACTATATTATTCCATTATATAGATGTGCTATAAATTATTTTACCTCTCTTCAATTCATGGGCATTTATGTTATTTCCAACTTTTAGTCATAGCAAAAGATATTGCATGAACATCCTTGTACCTATATATTTTCATAGTTGTACAGGTGTATCTGAAAGATTCTCAGTGGGCAAACTAGAGAGTTAAAGGGACATTTAAATTTGTGTTAGAGATTGCTAGGTTTTCCTGAAAATTTTTGCAATAATACATAGTCCCACCAACAGTGTATGAGGGTGTTTGCTTCCCACACCATTGTCAGCACGGGTGTGATTATACTGTCAAAACTTCCAACTTGAAAGTAAAAAGTGGTTCATCACTGTTTTCATTTGCATCTTTATGAGTTAGGTTGAACATTTCTTTTTCATATGTTTATTAGTGATTTGTATTTTCTCTTCTATGAATTTGCCCATTTTTCTAGTAGGTTGTTCCTTTTCTTACTGATTTGAATGAGTCTCTTAGTTAGGAAATTAGCTCAGGGCTACTTTTAATCTTGAGGGAACTGAGAAGGAACAGCCTGACCAGCCAAGCAATCTGGGAATGTAGACCAGCACCAGGCAGCTTGTCCTCTGAGACCCCAGATAGGTAGGAGCATCTGCTGTGATGGTCACCTGCCAGTTTTAGTTCATCTGGGTATTTGGATGACTCTGTCTTTCTAATACCTTACATTACTTTGTATTAAATTAATTATATTAAATTAACCTCTGGACCCTGGGATTCTTTCTTTTTATTTTTTTATTTTTAAACAAGGCTTTATAATCACTTACTGCTGAACTTGGGGTTCTATACTTTGACATGGAACTATAGATAGCAACTCTGTTTGGAACTACTTAGAGAAAAGAGTGAGCTGGTCAGTGGTCCAAATCCAGGCCCACACAAGCAGTGCTGCTGGGAGAGGCTTTCCCTCCACACAGCCTAACCCAGTGGTTGGCAAACCGCGGCTCGCGAGCCACATGCGGCTCTTTGGCCCCTTGAGTGTGGCTCTTCCACAAAATACCACGTGTGGGCGTGCACGTACAGTGTGAAGTTGACTTAAAACTTTAAGTAAAGTTTATTAAGTTAATTTTAGGGAACGTTGTGGAGTGAAAGAAGATGTAGTGTCGAGGATTAGAAAGGGATGTTGAGATGGTTTGGACATATAGAGAGGATGAACGAAAGGAGATAGACGAAACAAGTATACAAGACGAGTGTGGATGGGAGAGTTGGGAGGGGTCGACCTCAGCGAACGTACCTCAATCAGATTGAGGACGTTTTTAGCAAAGGCCAGCTTAGGAGTACCCTAATTAAGTTAATAACAGTGTACCTACCTGTAGAGTTTAAGTTTAAAAAATTTGGCTCTCAAAAGAAATTTCAATCGTTGAACTGTTGATATTTGGCTCTGTTGACTAATGAGTTTGCCGTTTTGCCGACCACTGGCCTAACACTGGTTGGGCTGGGCAGCCTGGGGCTGTTACAGATGCTTGGTGTTTGCTGGCAGTTTTTATGTTTTCGCGGCTTCTGATTGCTTGTGTGAAAAGAATTTTACACTGTTGATGGCCAAGGAAAGATAGAAAGAGGCTGACCCTCCCGAATGTTTTGAAGGATTCTCATCATAGTTTATGGTTGATTTGTTCTGGTTTGGGATGTGCCAAGGTTGCCACTCTTTGGAATACTGGAAAAAGGAGAAGCCAGTCTCTGGCCTTTTGGCATTTTTTCCACTGGGACTTTTCTGTTCTCCTCTGGGGAAATGCAGCTGTCTTTTCTCTTTTCTATTCTCCACCCCCCCCCCCCCCCCCTGTCTCTATTCCTGATGTGTAGAAACTTGGCCACTTTTCTGCCTCCTCATTCTGAGTTGGAACCTCATTTTCCAGTCTCCCCAGGAATCAGCCCCTCTCCTTCCCCTCCCCCATAATGAGCTATCAGCTTTTATTTCATAGCAAATAAAAGAAGGCTGATGAGCGAGCCCCTCACTGGCCCTGCCCTTCAAATTGTGGGATTTTTTCTTTCTAAGTGTCCAGTCTGCGCTGTTCCCAAGAACTTGTCCTTAACACAAGAGAGGATTTGTTTCAAGCAATGAGCTCTATAGACAAAAGATTCTTGCTTTGAACAGCTGCAGGAGAAAATGTCACATTGTCAACTCCTTCTATGGACAGTTGTCAAGGGAGACCAAAGTCTGGGTGCTGCTGGAGGAAGTTTAGGGGATGAAGGAATCTCCTCTCAAAGGTCTCTCATTGTTTCTGTTTGTTCTCTTTCTCTCAGATGCTGATAGGTCTTGCTGGCTACCTGAGTGGATATGATGGTACCTTTATGTTCCAGAAGCCTGGGGACAGATATGAGCATCACAACTACATGGGAATGAGAGGAGTAAGGCTTCCTGACTTGAAAGAGCTTCACTGAGCCCTGGGGCCACACTCACAAATGTTACAGTTGGAAATCCTGGGGTGGTGGCAGGTGTACACAACGGACTTTGGGGTGGGGGGAGGATGACTGGATCCATGCCCTGAAGTAGAAATTCAGGCGTAGAGACTCAGAACTGGTGTGGGTAAGAAGGGAAGGGGAGGCCACAGGTAATGGAGATTACGTAGATAGGAGCAAGCCCACCCTGTCACATGTTATGCCCATGTGAGGCATCAGACTGCAGGTTGGAGAGCAGCCTGGGACCCAGGCAGCCAGGCAGCCAGGAGTCTCCTCTAGTCCCAGCATTGGCCTCAGCACATTGGCAAGCTACATGTTCTTCCTCTCTCAGACCACACTTGCTGGAGTATTGCTTATCTCTGAGGGCCCTTTCTTAAGACCTCAGTATCCCCACACTCCTGGCACAGGTTCCTACTTCTTTCCCATGAAGGTTTCAGGCACACACAAGGGGTGTGCCAGTCTTTGGAGGGAGGCCATGTGTCCGCTTCCTCTGTTCCCTGTGTCCCAGCAGCAGCCTTGATGGAGCATGGCATGGCCTCAAAACCCAGCTCTGGGCACTCCATACCTGTAGCTGAATGAAACCTGAAGAAACTGACCTTCAATGTAGAGCTCTCAAAGCAAGTTACATTTACAAACCCCTTTCATTGAGGAGCTCAAACACTTTAGATAAATACAAAGTGCTTATTTGGACAAATTGTTGGATAATTTGCATGGTCATATGATACCATATTAAACAAGAAGTGTCCCATACCCTCAAGTTCATATTCTAAGTGATCCTGTGTCTTCTTAATGACTTTTGAATACCATATAGCATGCGTAATTGGATATAGGCCTGACTCACTGTGAACTTGTTATGGGAATTGAGAAGGCAAATATGACCCCGGTGTTCCCTTTCACACTAGGGCACATTGCTTTCTGTTAACAAAAGGCGACAGCCCAAATGTGAGAATTTCCACTCCCTTGGGCTTGCCTGTTTACTCTTGATGGATAAGGTGGAGAGGTACAGAGAAGGCTTGTGGTTGAAAACAAAACAAAAAAACCCTCCAGTTACTGAAGCACAAAGCATTCTTTTTGCTAAAATAAAAATACCACCTGTAGATTAAAGAGTGGTTCCTCGTATGACTGAAGAAAAGGGCTAAGGGAGAAATAACAGAATTCTCTACAATATTAAAACACCTCAGAGAGGTCTTAACTTGTCCATAGTTTTGTAATAGAAGCTAATGTTTATCAAGTACTTCCTGTGTGTTAACAAACTTTAGGTCATTTAATCTTCAGAGTATAAACCCTTTGAGGTAAGAACTCTGATTCTTCACATTACACAGATGGGGAGGCTGAGTAAAGAGACATGTGACTTCCTCAGGGTCACAGCTAGTAGTGATAGGCAGTCTAACCGGCATCCCCCACCTGAAACCAGTGTGTCATCCTGCTCACGCCTCTCTGGCTGAACTTTGCTGATTTCGTGTCAGTGCACAAGTTGGTGCTCAGTGGGAACTAAATGCTGCTTGATTTGATGCCTCATGGTTACACCACCCCTTTCTCATTCATACATGTGCCAGCTGGTTTTAGGTCACCATGTCCTCATTGGGGTCTTCCATCTTAGACCTGAGCTTGTAGGTCTCTGAGCCTTAGCTAATCTGGTTATTTGACTGCTTCTCTTTTCCTTCCGTAGTTCTGTGCGTTCCTCGGTTCCTTGCTGATCCCCTTTGCCTACCTCACTGTACTGGAGCTGTCCAAGTCCCTCCCCGCAGCACTGCTCAGCGCTGCCCTCCTCACCTTTGGTAAGTTGTCTTCTACCACGTTTCCAGGGAAATTGTCTGCTACACCACGTTTCCTGGGAAATTGTCTGCTGCACTGTGAATGTAGCTGGAAATCAACACATTTACAGATCTGTCTGTGGGCCCAGTTGTTAAGTAACTTTAGGATTGAGTAAATGTATTACAAATCTTATTTTATTCACTAGTAATATTTTAACTATATATATACTTGTATGTAGCAAGCCTTTACATTATTGGAAGGGAGAGCTGGCATAGATGATCTCCAGTTGTCCACATTTAAGATTTAAGTTTGGATTGGATAAGAAGATAGCTGTGTGTGTGCGGGTGTGTGTGTGTGTGTGTGTGTGTATGTGTGAAGGAGGCCTACAATTCTAATTCTGCTTCTCTTAGGTTACTATCAAGATTAGTTTGTACTCCTTAAACTAATTTTAGCTGAATGCAAGGGCGATGCCTCAAAGTAGCTCGGCAGCAGGAGGTAGTAAAATGGGAACTTACATGTTTTCTGTGGATAATCCTCCCATGGCTAAATGAGAGCTGATCCATGGAAACTGATCTTGTTGCTATTCTTGTTCTTCTGAAAGTGCATTCATGACCTTACAGAGCTTAACATTTAAGGAAGTCCAGACCACTGTAGGTGGGTATTTTAGGGGTGATTCTGGCCTTGTTTTGATCGATATGTTGCAAGATTATGGGGCTTCTTGGTAGAGGGTTGGTGGCTTTTTCTTTGTGTCTTTAATTTCCTTTTCAGTTATTGTCATTTATTTATTTTCTCAGTCAATACTATTTTTAAAGCATCTCCTCTTTCTAGGCCACTTTTATCGGCCTCAGAGGGTGAGGAGCTTACTCCCTAGTGGGGCAGATGATAAGTAAGCCAATAAATTACTAAGTCTCTAATGTAACATTCTAAGCAATAAGTGCAATGTAGAAAATAGAGTCGGGTGAAGAATAAAGTCATGAGGAATGATCCTGTTTTAGGTAGGGTGGTCAGTGAGGAGCTGCTTAAGGAGGTGGCCTTGAGCAGAGACCTGTGTGAAGCAAAAGATTAAGCCATGCAGAGATGTGAGGGAAGAGTGTTCAGGCAGTGGGAACAGCATGTGCGGTGGTCCTGGTATAAGGTGGCATTTAGTGGATTCAAGGGACAGCAAGAAGGCCAGTGGGGCGGGAGTGGAGTGAGTGAGGCAGAGGGTGTTGGGATAGGAGGTTGGATAGGTAGGGAGAACCGTGCAGGTTTTGGCATTGTCACGAGGAGCTTGTTAGTCTGAATGAGATGGGAAGACATTGGAGAGTTTAAGCAGGGGCATGATGTAATGAAATTGTGTTTCACTTTGCACCTATCTGAAGAATCAGCTCCCAATATAGACTTTTTACAAAATGGTCAGACTGCCCTCGGTGTGGGCCATTTGTGGCTATATGAGCAGGCGGCAGAACTCACTTTGTAAGGCTGGAAATGAGCAAGAGCCCTCACCTCGGGACTGCTCTATCTGAATGAGTGACATGATCCTTTCTTGAGTTAAGGGCCTGGAAGACGTGTGGGATACTATTTCGTATCATTGGACTTTGGTGTACCCCCAAGCTGTGACCTTCACCTCCCCAACGACTCAGTGGCCCATCTAGTCTTGACTGCAATTAAGTGCAAGGGGGACTTATTGCTGGGGTGTTTGGTTCTCGGGGGCCCATCTCTGATCCCATTTTTTGACCACTGAGCTCATGTTTTTCAGACACAGGATGCCTCACTCTGTCCCAGTACATCCTCCTTGACCCCATCTTGATGTTCTTCATCATGGCTGCCATGCTGAGCATGGTCAAGTACAACTCCTGTGCTGACAGGTCAGAAACACCGTCTTTGGGAGTATGTATGTGTGTGTGTCGGGCTGGGGGGCGGGGGAGGGGAGCGGGGGAGTGAGGTGATCCAGAGGCTACGGCAGCTCCAGAATTTCTATAATGGCCAGGCACAGGGTAAGTGCCTAGAGGACTTGTCTTGAGGCTGAGTTTAAGGCAATCCAACTTTTAAAAAAACTTAGAATACCCATTTTAGATCATGAAAATAGATTTGAAAAGGTTTTCTATAGATTTATTTTTGCTTTACATAAGACTAAGAAAATGTCGATTGTATTTTTCAAGAATATTATCATTTTTACAGTGGGGGTGGACTTAGATAGGGGTTTGTGGATATTATGGAGGGTCCTAATGCCTTCCCACCAACTTATAAGCCACCCCTTGGCACCAGTGCTGGTTAGGAGATCCCAGGACAACTTTATCTTTCACATTCTCCATCCTAGAGGGGAGGGAACCAGGGTAGATCCTGCTTGGGAGTGTTTGTCTCCCTGCCCTCGTTGGTTGTTACATCCAGCCCTGACCTAATGGTGGGAATAGTGTACATAAAGGTTGGCTTGAATGGTCCATAGCAGTCAAGAGGATCCCTGCAGGCTCTGCAAAGTTCTGAAGCTGTACTAGAGGGCCTCGTCTTCCCCAGGGTAGTCTTTTCCAGATCATCCTTCTACCTCTGAGAGAGTAGAATACATTCATTCTATTCAAACCAAAAGAGCTGGCTCATCTGGGCTTTTCTAGAAGTCAACTTGGTTTCACCATGACAACGCTCATTAAATGATGTTATCTCATTAAATGATGTTATGCTAATAAAGCCTGATCCAGGTCTCTCTGGCTTTGGTTTATCTTCTGTCTCTGCCACATTCACTTCCACCTGCCATTTCTGGAATGCATATTCTGTGCCAGGTACTGTGCTAGGAGCTGGAGGTACAGCAGGACTTAGGTCTGGCTGTTAAGGAGCGATCGCTCTGGCAGGGGAGGCCGCCAGAAAGTGAGAAAATTGCAGGACAGTGTGTTAGGAGCTGTAAGTACAGCAAACCTTGGCACCGACTGCCCTGGCTGGAACCATGCTCCACCGCTTGCTAGCTGTATTACCTAACCTCTCTGTCCTTTGCCTTCCTCATGTGTACTAGTAAAAGAGGATAACAATAGGATCTACCTCATGGGGTTAGTGAAAGTTGAAGAGTTAATTGTGTAGAGACTTGGAACAGTGCCTGACACATGGTAAGCACTCGAGAAATGCTGGCTTTGACAGGTCCAGAGGTGACAAAGGAGAGGGCTGACTCAATCCAGTGGCTTCTCTGGATTTCCCTTTGACATCCACGTGATTGGTTATCCCTTGAAGAAAAGCTTCTTGCTTACTTATCCAGGAAAGCATTGATCCCTCTCACAGAAAAAGCTCCTCCTCACTCCCACCCACACTGTGCTTCCTGCAGTTTCAAGTTTCACAAACCATGCTGTCCTTGGAGCCTCATGGTCCCCTGAGGTTAGGAGCCCTCGCATAGAGGGCACAGCACAGCCCCTCAGGGTCAGAGAACCTGTGCCCTTGCCCACTGATGCTCTTGCTTTTGAGTTTGGTTCCAGCTGCCAAACTGAACTCTGTGTCTTGTTGGTTTTCAGGCCCTTCTCTGCCCCCTGGTGGTTCTGGCTCAGCCTGACTGGCATTAATCTGGCTGGTGCTATAGGGGTCAAGTTTGTTGGCCTCTTTATCATCCTGCACGTGGGGTGGAACACCGTATCAGACCTTTGGCACCTGTTTGGAGACCTCAGTCTTTCATTGGTGAGAACCAAGTGCTTGTAGAAATGTCTTTGCTCCCCAGTATTGCTCAGCAGAGTCAGTGGCCTACGTCGCCTCTGCTGCAGGCACGGAGTGGCTGTGTTCTGGGCACAGGCAAGCTGGACCAGCTGCTCTCTGTAGGCAGCAGGACGGGGGAGTGGGCAATGGCTGAGAGGCTGGAGTGGTATAAAGGGCGAGGATAGACTCACATTCTTGGAATTCATTTTTGGCATTTGTTTCTGAAATGTTTTAAAAATGCTCTGCAAACTACCCAGCTAGAGGATTCTGTCCAGTTGGGCTCATGCCAAATACTGGTATATGTCAGGCGCTGACGCAGGGGACCTTGGGTGAAATGGTCAGGGAGACTTTCTGAACTCACAGTTTTCTTTTCCCGATCCAGGCTTTTTAGATTTGGAAGCCAGTAAGGTTTATTACAATATTGTTTATTAAGGGCTGATTCTGTGCTGGGCACTATGCAATATGCGTTATCTTCATTATCTCATTTTCTTTTCATAACAATTTTATGTGGTAGGTAGCTATTACCTTCTCTTTACAAATGAGGAAATCAAGATCTAGAGAGGTAATAACATGCCCCATATCAAGGCAATAGAGGCAGATCCAGGGTTCAAACTGAGGGAAGGCAGACTGCTTACTAAAGGCTGCTCCATTGCCTCTGAACCAAGTCCCAACAAGTTTATTTATTCAGAAAATACAGACATGCTATCCTCTAAGTGTGAGACACAACATGCAGATGAATAAAACAATGATCCCTGCCCTTTAGAGACAATGGAGAGAGAGAGAAATAAGTGAGCAGGCAATTATAGTTCAGCCAACAAGTTCTGTGAGAGCACAGAGGAAAGTGTGACCCTGTGTCAGGTGATGCAGGAGGACTTCTGGGAAGACACTGAGGCCTGAAGTTAAATTAAGGAGCAGTCATCCATGTGATGGGTGGGGCTGGCCAGTACAGGAAGCTCGGGGAAAGTGCAGGGGATCAGTGGAGAGGGGACTGATGAGTGACGATGCTGAAGATATAGGCAGCGCTTTGTTGGTGGCGCAGTGACAGTCTGGGGTCCAGGGTGAGGGCTCGGACAGGCAGCAGGGGGCTGGCTCCTGTTCAGTCCCCGGCATTGTTTCAGTGGTGGGTGCTATGGAAAGCATTTCCACATAGTTTTTCTTTATGGCTGTTAGTTTTTCAATTTTATTATGACTATGACTTATACATGAAAACATATATAATGCACATGTAAGGTATAAGGAATAACACTGGCTCTGTCTACAGGTGACTGTGGGAAAACACCTGACTGCGCGCATCCTGTGCCTCATAGTGCTGCCGCTGGCTCTCTACACAGCCATCTATGCTGTTCACTTCGCGGTGCTGAATCAAAGGTACAGCAGAGCCTTTCTAGTCGCTCACTCTGTCTTCCTCCTGCCTCTAAGCCCGTGGATGGGCCGTGTCATTTCCTGGGTCTGTGGTTGGGATGACAGGAGGGGACCCAGGGTGTTTTCCTGTTGGTTTTCTCCTGTGTTCTATCATTTGGGTATCCAAAATGCTCAGAAAGGCCAACACCCTTAGTAAAGAATTTCCTAACAGCCAAAAGCCCCTTCTCCCTAAACAAAGCCCCTTGTGTTTAACAGGGATGAGCCACCATAAGGTGTGCAGTTGGGATGAGGATAGTAATAACAGTAGCACCAGCAGCAGCTCCCATTTAACGAGTAGCTACTGAGTGTCAGGAACGTTCAGCATTTTGTACCCATTTTCTCATTTTATCGTAATTACTTTGAAATCTTTTTTAAAAAATATATTTTATTGATTTTTTACAGAGAGGAAGGGAGAGAGATAGAGAGTTAGAAACATCAATGAGAGAGAATCATTGACCAGCTGCCTCCCCCTGGAGATGTGTCCGCAACCCAGGTACATGCCCTTGACCGGAATCGAACCCGGGACCATTCAGTCCGCAGGCCGACGCTCTATCCACTGAGCCAAACCTGTTTTGGCACTTTGAAATCTTTAAACCCCTGTTTATAAATGAGCAGAGACTAAGCCAAGTTAGGTATCTTCTGAAGGCCCCCTAGCTAGTAAGTGGCTGAGTTGGGATTTGGACCCAGTTTCTCCTCCTCTATCACCCATGTCTGTCTCCCGATGCCTCACTGCCACTCTGGTTGTCCTTAAATGAGCCAAGCAGGGCTCTTTCTAGGCTCCTGGGAAGTCATGATTTCACTGCACTCACTGGGCTCTCCTGCTCCTGCTCTCCCACAGTGGTCCCGGCGATGGCTTCTTCAGCTCCGCCTTCCAGGCCCGGCTCTCAGGAAACACCCTTCACAATGCTTCCGTCCCTGAGTGTGAGTGTCTCCCGGGCCTGATGCAGGGCAGAGGGTTTTCTGGGAGTTGAATTAGAAAAGACGACTACGATAGTTTGAGTTATTTCGGTCTGTAGAGGGCAAAGTGGGAGAAAGATCCAGTTATTTCCAGTACGAGTACTCAAGAGAGGGGGTCGGGACACAGGAAGTGCAGAGGTAGACGTCCTGAGCAGCAAACTCTTTGTCGCTAAAGAGAGACTTCTTCATTGCGGCTGTGAAAACATTCAAGCCAGCTCTGTGGGAAGGCCAACCAGAGAGATTCTGTTTGGACCTGCAGGGCCACTGGTCAGTTTCTACCATGGAGTGCTGTGGCTCAGTTACTATTCACAGGTACTAACTGAGCAAGCCTTAGCCACGTTGGCAGCGGTAGGCAGATGCCCTCCAGCGTAGAGTTTGATGTAGAGAGTCTCTGCATGATATGACTGTTCGGGTTAAGTACATAAAGTGGGAACACAGGGTGCAAGAGATAGAGTTAGTGGTCTGGGAGTCAGGCCATGGCAGAATGTGTAGATTTCAACAAATGGAGAGGGAGGAGTGGGCATATTGGGCAGAAGGGACAGCATGGTCAAGGCCAAGGACAGGGCAAAACTCAAGGCACAGATTATATGCGGAAAAGTACCTGAAAATAAAGTTGAAAAGATAGGTTGGGCCAGATAGTGAGGGTTTGAAATGTCTGGATGAGGTGTTTGGCCTCATTACACAGGCATTGGAGACCCAGTGGAGGTATTGGGCAGGGAGGGGGCCAGGAAGGCTGTGCCTTAGGGAGATGACTCTGGTGGTTCAGTATAGGATGGCAAGGGAGAGGGTGGGAGTGGAGGCAGGAGATGTCCTCTGAGCAGTTGCAGGCATTGAGCTGGGCACAGAGGTAAGGCAACCGGGCATAGACAAGGGAGGTTGGACCGGAAAGGGGCGAACAAGATGTCACTAAGGACCTGAGCCCAGGTGATTGTTTCCTGGGGCAAAGACTGTCTTTTAGTCTCCCCAGTGCCTTGTACAGTGCCCAGACCCTGGGCCCTCCCAGACCGTGGAAAGAATGAGAAAGAGGAAAGGCTAAGAAGTCGGTTTGGAAAGGCAGATAGTGAGTTCTACATCAGAGACTTTGACTTGGGGGAAATCGTGCAATGGGGCCAGAGGGCTTGGAGCTTAAGCTTTCAAAGGAGGAGTCAGCCAGGTAAAGGGGTGACTAATGCGGTGGCAGTGCTATGACCGTAAGGAAACTGCAGAGAGAGGAAGAGAAAAAGGCTGAGGTCAGGTCACTGGGGATGGCAGGAGGAAGGGGACCTAGGAAGGAGCTGCAGAGGAGCCATTCATGAGGGAGTATGGGGCTGAAAAGGAGGAACAGAGAGCATTTCAAAAAGCAAAGGTGGTCAGCAGTGTGTAAATTCCTATTCATCATTTATAAAGCCGAGCTCAGCTGTGATCTCTTCCATCAAGCCATCCTCTTCTTACTCCTGGGGCGAGAAGTCATCCTACCCTGCTCTGGGCTCCCCCATGTCTCACATTGTCACACCTTTGCCAGAGGACTTGCCCACTGTCATGTGCTCGTCAGTGCATGAAGCTGTTTTCCCCAAGACTGGGCTCGCCGTGGGTGCAGCCAGGCCTGCTCCACCTCGGATCCAAGTGTAATCAGCACAGTCTGCTGACCAAGTGAATGGACAAAGGAAGACAGGGTGGGCCATCTCTGGTGGAGTGAGACCTCTTTCGGTGGAGTGGGGAACGGCAGGGTGGCCAGAGTTTGAGGGATTGAGAAAAGAGGGACAGTAAAAAGGAAATGAGGTTTACTCTGCCCCCCCCCCTTTTAAAATTCAGAGTAAAGAAAAGCCCAAATACCATTAAATAGTTACTCCATATGGTACTGGATTCAGAAGCACAAAAGTCTGTCTTAACCGTCTATCATACCATCATATTTGGGGAACATTCCAGATAACGACATAAAATGCTTCTTCCTTTATTCCATTGAATGTATGTCCAGACCTTGACTGAAGGACAAGCGGGTCTAATCTTTCACTATTACAAACAGTGCTCTAATCACACTGTAACTACCCAGGTTCTTCTGAAGTGCTTAGTGGGGAGAGAAGAAGGGCACCCTGGAGTGAACTCCCTTGTGTTGACCCTATAGGAGTGTGAAGGCAGTGACACACCTGCTTTGGGTATCCTCAGCCCAGTGGGGTTTGTAAGAGGGTTATGAGCCCTAGGGCTTGGGAGGCCCCTCCCAGTCAGCGGTGGCTTCTAGCGCTGTGCTACTCACCCCCCGCCCCCCTGCCTTCCTCCTAGACCTAGCCTTCGGCTCTGTGATCACTGTGAAGAACCTGCGGATGGCCATCGGCTATCTCCACTCCCACAGGCATCTCTATCCTGAGGGCATTGGCGCCCACCAGCAGCAGGTCCGTGAGCCTCTTCTGCACTGAACCCGCCATTCCCGTTCCTGCCGCCCGCCCTTTGCTTGTGCTGTTTCCCCTGCTTCCTGCGCCTCTTCCTCTTTGCTGTGGCTAACTCAGCTTCTTTAGGCTTCAGCTTAGGCTTCAGTGTTCTCCTCTGACCACCATGATACTGGATTCCCTGGTACTGGATTAGGTGCCAGGGCCAGGGTTTGAAGCTGCAACCCAGGTACATGCCCTTTAACAGGAATCAAACCCGAGACCCTTTGGTGCATGGGCTGACACTCTAACTGCTGAGAAACACCGGCCATGGCTTAATTACCTTTTAAAATGCACTAAATCCTCTCTGTTACACAAGGTGGGAAAAGTCCTCTCAATGCAGAAGGAAGGAGAGAATCTCAATGCTGAGTCCTGCTGGGAAACGTGGTCCCTTGGGTTGGTGGCTGGGGTTCAGAAAGGCTTAAGCAATGTTGGTTTGCTGTTGATTGTCCTGTGGCTGGTTGTGCTGATAGTGATGGCCTCTTCTCTCCCCCTTCCTTCTCCCTCCCCCCACCCTCACCCAGGTCACCACCTATCTGCACAAGGACTACAACAACCTGTGGATTATCAAGAAGCAGAATACAGACTCAGGTAATGTGGTGGGGAACTGATGCTTCTTGTGTGATTACTTACTGTCAGTCCTCCACATTTCTCATGCCTCCAGAGAAGGGTAACAAGATGGGCTTTCCTGAGCATTCTTTGACAATGTGCTTACTATCTCAGTTATCCTTTCAACAGTTATTTATTGAGCACCTGCTAGTTCAAAATGCCATTGTCAGCTTAGGGGATTAGCAGTGAGCAAGACAGATATGATCTCGCTCTCAGAGCTGCATTTTGAAGACAGAGAGCAGGACCAAAGCTCAGAGTTGATCTAGAGGATTACCTGGTCATGCCACCAGGGGCTGGTGAATAGCCCCAACTGGGGCACATGCTGGCTGCTCTCATTTCTAATTTAGAACACACCAAGCATTGCAGACTCCAGCATATGGTGCAGCTCCAGTTGTCTTGATATGATAGTGTTGCTGCCCTATTGGTCATCCTTGGACTAGGCTGTCAGTTGGAGATCTTAGGGTCTGCCAGCCCTGTGCTGGGCCTGTCTAGGCTGCTGTCTGGTACCTCACTCAGTGCCTGCTAGTCTTCTTCTGCCTCACCGGCCAAAGCTGCTCTGAGGCACACCTGTTGGGCTCTCAGGGCCTATGACATGGGCTGTATCTGGATCTTGCTTTTTTGGTCAGGCAGCTAGCTACCTGCAGGCTATACCTTCTGCTGCAGCTGCGAGAGAACAGAGGGCATCTCCCACTCACCTGAGCCCCTGCAGATTGTCCTGTGTCACAGGCATCCTCTGTGACTCCCCAGCAAACACCACCTGACTCATCCTGTCTCAAGTCAGCTGCCCCTGAGCCTTTGTTGGGGAAGGGGCAGATGATCATCTGAATTCACCTTCTTTGTTCCTTTCCCCACTCCTCTTCTTGCTGTGGTTTTTGGATCAGAATATGGCATACACAGTCACTGTCTTTGCATCCTATTCCTCAGTAATATGAATTATGATACTCTTGGGCAGGATCTATGTGTATACCTTTTTAGTACTGGTATTGATTGGGTTTTTATTCAACAGGCCACACTTAAGTGGTCTATCACAATGAGGTGTTAGTGAGGGGAGACCAGCTTTACATTGAAAGTCATGTGGGCCTAGCCGAATCTTTGAACATCCCTGGTCTGTTATTTCATTGTGGCTTGTAGGTTAAAGTAGCTGCATTTCACCCGGGCAACTTGTGAGAAGGCAGTGTCTGCAAGCACTGTGGGCGGTGGGCACTGTGTCACTGAGGTCGTTGAGACCTTGATGGCTATAAATTTATATGAAGTAAATTTATATGAAAGAAAACTTCCCTCCCATTGACTTTTTTTTATGTCATCTTGCTAGTTAATTTTTTTAAATTTATTTTTTTTAAAAATATTTTTATTGACATCAGAGAGGAAGGGAGAGGGAGAGAGAGAAACATCAATGATGAGAGAATCATTGATCGGCTGCCTCCCACACGCCCCTACTGGGGATCGAGCCTGCAACTGGGGCACATGCCCTTTATCAGAATCAAATCCGGTACCCTTCAGTCTGCAAGCCAATGAGCCAAAATGGCTAGGGCTAAACTTTTTAATTGAAAGAGACCTTAAAAGTCCACATAGGAGTGGGAATCTCTGTAGTTAAGTTCTCTGATTCACTTGAGAGCCATGATTTGTGCTAGTAAATTCGTCTTCTTGACCTGGAGTGTTCATGTCTCACTGTTTGGGATGGAAATTTGCAAGAATTTCTCTGTGTTGCTGTGATTACTGCTGATTCCTTTTCCATTGTCATCACCTTTCTAGATCCCAATCAGTTTTGACTTCTAGACGATACAGAAGTACAGCTGACTCCTGAACAATGCAGGGCTTAGGGGCGCTGGCCTCTTGCACAGTCAGAAAGCCATGTATAACTTTTGACTCCCCCAAAACTTAACTTCTAATAGCCTACTATTGACCAGAAGCCTCACCAATAACATACTCAGTTGGTTAACACATATGTTATATGCTATATATGTTATAGACTGTATTCTTAGAGTAAAGTAAGCTAGAGAAAAGAAAATTATAAAGAAAATCATAAGGAAGAGGAAATACATTTGTAGTATTTATTTTAAAAATCCATGTATAAGTACCTGCTCATTTTAAACCTATGTTGTTCAAGTGTCAACTGTAGTCCCTTTTTTCATCATTTCATCATTATCTTTACCTAAGACTTAGCAAGTATATTGCCAGGAACAAGATAATCACTGGCAAAATGTGCAGGATTTAACATTTGATTTTTGAGGAGAGCTTGGAAATGGTAATTTGCATGGAATTAATTTTTGGAAGACTATTTTTTTACTACTAAAAGGAAAATCGTAGTACTACTTGCCTTACCAGCTTAAAAATCTTCCAGTGGGGGCTTCAGTGCCTGTTAGAGATGGCCATATTTCTCTCCTGGCCCCACTGTTCACACACTCATCCATTCTCACCCTTCCTGCCTGCCCCCTTAACCACAGGAGACCATCAAATGAGTTTTGCTCTTTCACACTTCTGTGACTTTCCCCCATTTGTTCACCTGGCAAAATTCTCCCTCTCCTTGAAGAGTCTTTCAAACGTTATTTTGGGACACACCCTTATCCAGTCCTCTGAAACAGTCGGGGCCTTTCTCTCTGGGCTCTCTGTCTCCTGACAGCATCTCTAGCACCTGCCAGGCACTGTAACTCCCAGTGGGCCCTCAGTCAGTACTGGCCCGGTGAGCGAATGGTTTCAGGTACCAGTGCTTGTTTCTTCTTGGCAGATCCCCTAGACCCCTCATTCCCAGTGGAGTTTGTAAGACATGGAGACATCATTCGACTAGAACATAAAGAGTAAGTAAGTTTGCTCTTTGGGATAAATGAGTGGTATGGGCACCAAAGGTAAGGAGTTGTTTTTAAACTGGAAATGAACAGAAGTCAGGTTTGAACAGGCTCTGGCAAATGGAACAAGCTGCTGGCGGAGGACGTAGAGCCGCGTTAGGAAGGTCCGTGAAATAAGCAGATGAGCCTGTGCCTACCTAGTTTGGCTCTGAGGAGCTTTGAAGTTTGAAGGTATCTTTCAGCTTCCCTTTTCTTAGAGGACAGAAGAAAAAATTTCAGTTGCCCAAGCTGCTTCTTAAGTGACTACCTTTAGAAAGATGTAAACATGTTTCCAAGAATATGGCAAATTAGTTTATTTAACCAATGTTCTCCTTGAAAATGACTAATATGAAAACTGGAATAAAAATATAAAACTGGAATAATGTAAGAGCATCTTCTAGAAAGCATCAAAAAGCTGACATGATAGTAAGGAGTTACCAAGCCAAAATCTAAATGAAAGGGGGGATCTGAGAAAAAAGGGGGACACTGTAGCCACTTCTGCCATGATCCCACAGTCTTGAGTGTTGATCTTTGGTTTGGACTGCCTCTTGAGAGATGGAGTTTTAAAGTCAAAGTTCTAGGTTCACCCAAAGTGGTAAGTTTACTAAGTGATCCTTCCCCCAGATTGGGAGCCCCAAAAGGGTTAGGGTTGGGTAAATTTGCCCTGTCCACATGTACTCTGGAAAAGTTACTTTGGTGCTGGGCAGAGTGTGCTTGGGAGGGGTGAAGCGGGGGTTGGGAGGCTCTGTCTCTGGTGCCTGAGATGATGTAACTACCAGTTGATCCTCACATGGGTTTGCAGCCCAACGTTATTTCACCTGGATGGTCTCAAGATCTTCAAGCCAGGAATTTAAATGCACATAATCCTAGATTGGTAATGTTTCCTAGCAGCCTGGTGAAAGGCAAATTAAGACAGTTGTGCCTTAAGACAGTTCTCTCTTCTAACTTCTAAATCTTTTTGGGAAAAACATTGTCACCTATTCTTATCAATAGTTTTTTGGTGACAGTGAATAATAACTAAACAGTATAAATAACTAAACACACAAGGAATAGGACCCCACATGCAAGAATAAGCAGGAACAATACATAGCAGAAGCAGCCCTCAGAAGTTTCATATACTAGAATTATCAGATACAGATTTTTTTTTAAAATCAGAATTTTATATATATAGAAAAGCTATGAGAGTTTTTTTTCCTGGTGAGTATGATTATGGATACTTAAAATTTTAATTTCATTATTAAATAATTTCTATTTTTAATAAATTAAAATTTGTTGTTATTAAATTTATTTTTGAGAATTTCCAGAATTTTTATAATGAACATCTATTTCTTATTATGGATTAAAGTAAGCACAAAGTAAATAAAAGCTAAATTAATCCCCTATATTCCATATAGATCCCCACTTTATAAAACTGGTGGTGGGAGTAGAAAATAGATAGGAGAGAGAGGTTTACTATCTCTGGGATATGCAGATTATAGATTTTAATATTCTTCTACTCACACCTGCAAGCTAAGTGCTTCAAAGCCACCAAATGTGTTGTCACTACCTCCACCCGCACCTTCCACCTGAAGGTAGCCCCTTTCTTGGCACACAGTCCAGTACTCCTACCATTTGTCCCTCCTGGTTTAAGCAGTACTCCAGTTCTCTAGGTATTTCTTGTGAGTAAATAGTCAAGGAGTTCCTGATGCGCTGAATTTCATATTCAGGTTCTTTTTAAGATCTGAACAGGTGACTCTAAGTATCCTTTGTTAAAGAAGAAACGACACATCTCTTTTCTTCCAGATAATGGAACTTCTCTCTTCTAACTTCTAGGACCTCTCGGAACTTGCACAGTCACTATCATGAGGCCCCCCTGACCCGGAAGCACTACCAGGTCACTGGCTATGGCATAGTAAGTGAGCAACTGGAGTGTGCGCAGCCTGACTCAGGGCCATATGGCGGAACACATCCTCCCCAAAATTCTGGCATTTTTCCAAGGATGAAGGCTGTACAGGGACTCAGCATTTGGGAAAAGCAGCCTATGAAGTCTATCTGTTTCCATCTCTCTCCTCCCATAATAACCACGCCACTTTTATGTTCTGACACTTAATAAATGTCAAATATGAATACTATGTGGGTCCCTTTTAAATCTACATTGGATGTAGATGCCACAGACCCACAATGTGACCCAAGATGACTATGTACATTTATCCTTTGCCAGGTCCCAAATTCCTGTTTGCCTTGTTTTTAAGGATTACTTCCCTCTGCAGAGGGATATTCACATTGCTTTTGGATTTTTACTATCTTGGGTGATGCAGTTCATAGAGGAAGCTCAATGAGTACTTATGGCTTGGACAGTAATTTGAAAACAAAAACAATGAGTAGGTAACTAGACTTATAACTATCAGTTACGTTCCCCTCCAAGGGCTTTGGTGCATCAGTAAAAATTCTGGGTTTCGTAAAGTGGATTTTCCAACCCTGTTTGCTCATCCCAGTGTGTGCTAGAGCCAAGACTGTGAGCGTCACCTTTTTCTTGTGGGCATCTCCCGAGGAGAATTAGGCACAACTGTCTTAATTTCCAAGTACAATGTCCAGGCCAGACCTTTCTGGCTTAGCTGAATGGGTGTCCATATGGCCAAGGTCATGGATGCAAATGGCTCAAATCGATTTCTGTTGGCTCAGGGTGATGTCTTGAGTTTGGCTTAAGGGCAGAAACATCTATTTGGAATTTAAACTCTTGTCCTATGAAGTGCAGGCTTGGACATCAGATTCCAGGAGTTATATTAACTTTCTTGGTTGGAATAGTGAGTGCTGGAGCAGTATCCATCACTTGAAATATTTCCAGGCCCTTTTGTTCCCTTTCCCACCTCAGTCATTGAGGTCAGTTTAGTCTTTGACCTTTGTAACATGGGGACATCTGAAATGTCTTCTCTAAAGTCATATTATTTTCTTTGCATTTTTTCCTTGCCTTATGTGTTAGAATGGGACAGGGGACTCAAATGATTTCTGGCGGATTGAGGTTATAAACAGAAAATTTGGAAACCGGATCAAAGTGCTGAGAAGTCGAATTCGCTTCATTCATCTGGTCACAGGCTGTGTCCTGGGCTCCTCGGGAAAGGTTCTGCCCAAGTGGTGAGTCTCGGGTTTTGATGTTCCAGTTGAGGCTCATGCTGTTCCTTTCTCACTATAAGTATTCCAGAAGATTCAGTCTCCCAGTTGTCAATGTTCACCTAATGTTTGCTTATTTTGAGTGGTAGGTGGAGGGAGAAAAGCATCAGGTGTGTTGTAGAGCACAGAGTTCCAGAGTTCTGGTGTTTTATGTGCTCTGATAGTTGAAGGTTTGTACATGTGCAAATGTTTGTACTCTCTGGATCTATCTGTCTTTCTAAAATGGGAATACTGTGTGCCAGAATACTCCTAGGATAGCTCAAGGTTGAAAAAAGCATGGCTACTGGGTTGAAAAGAGAGGGGTTCCATGGGCGTAAGGGCAGTTAACAGTGCTCTCTGGTGAGTTTCAGGTCTTCTGAGAGACACCTGTGACTGTTTTTCACAGGGGCTGGGAGCAACTGGAAGTTACTTGCACTCCGTACCTAAAGGAAACCCTCAACTCCATCTGGAATGTGGAGGACCACATCAATCCCAAGTGTGAGTGAGGTTACTTCCTGGGCTGCCTCTTACGGGAAACAAACCTTTTAGACTGCTGTTGCTATATCTTATTGTTTCCACTTTCTTCCTTTTTAAACCTAATCTCTTCATATGAGTTGTCTAGAGAGGCAGCTCCTTTTGCTTCCCATCCACTTACACTTTCTCTCCTTGAAATGACCAGTGACCTCACTCGAGGCCAGAGCTACTTGTCTCTTCTCATTTTCCTTGTCTTTCGCCAGATTGGACTCTTTTCTCCGTGGCCTCTATAATGCAGGTCTGTCTGTCTTGTCTCCTTCTGGGCTCTTCTTCCTCCTGCACCATGGGCACCTCCCACCCTCAAGGCTTAGTGTAGGCTGGTGCTTTCCCTCTATGCCCCTGTGTAGAGCTCCTCCGCTCCCCACATCCAGCCAACACGTTTACAGAAAGTTACAGCCATAGCCCTGGCCTGGGCCCTGGATCTATACTTCCAGGCTCCAGTATGACATTTCCACATCAGTGTCATCTTCAACTCAGCGAATCTTTGGATTCATTGCCCGTTCTCTTAGACTGCCCTCTTCTTGCTTGATTTCTTTTCTCCCTGCTTCCCATTTCATTCTTTTACCACCTAATTTAACCAACCAGCTAATTAATTACCTAAATAAACTTTTTTTAAAAATCCTCACCCAAGGTTTTTTCTCATTGATTTTTTAGAGAGAGTGGAAGGGAGAGGGAGAGATGGAGAAAAACGTCCATGTGAGAGAGACAAGACACATTGATTGGTTGCCTCACCAGGGTTGGGGATTGAGCTCCCAAATGAGGTATGTGCCCTTGACTGGAATCGAACCCGGGACCCTTCAGTTCGTGGACCAGTGCTTTATCCACTGAGCCAAATCAGCTAGGGCTTAGCAACTCTTTATTGAGTATGACAGAACCATGTGGGGCCCTGGGGAGATATTGGTGAACGAGATAGACTTGGTCCCTATCCTTGCAGCCCTTCTGCCTAGCAGGAAGGGCAGCTGTGCCAGTACCAAAATGAAGGGTGACTGTGCCGAGAGCTGCCAGAGCACCCAGGCCTTGTCATCTGTTGCCTTTGTATTTCTCAGAATGCCTGGTGAGTGCTTAATACAAGCTGAAGGAATAATCAAGAATTGGGCCAAGTTTTCTTCCATCTCCCCAACACTTTCACCTACTTGATAGTCCGCTTGTCAGGAAAGCTGCACTCAGACTCTGGCAGCTGTGTGGATGCATGGACAGCTGTGAGAGCGAAGGTGTGACAAACGTTTCCTACTCTGTCATTTCTTTTTCTAGTGCCAAACATCAGCCTGGACGTGCTGCAGCCCAGTTTTCCTGAGATCTTGCTGGAGTCCCACATGGTGATGATCCGGGTAAGAGGGCCCCCTCCCATTTGGTGTCTTCTCTAAGAGCTCCGGGCCATCCACAAATTCAGATCACAAACCAGTAGCGTGGTTTAGATCCACTGCCCCCTTGTGGAGGACTTTGAAAGTGTCTTCACTTACTGGTTGAGTTGGTCTTTAAAGGCATTTCTGTTTATCACAGAGTGATGGTGGTGATGAAGATGATGACAATAATGATGACACCAGTGAAAACTTATGTAGCTCTTATGTGCCAGGCGCTACGCTAAGGGCTGTATACATACTAACTCATTTAATACTACAATCCTATGGAGATTATTGTTCCCGGTTTACAGAGGAGGGGACTGAGGTACAGAGATGAATACCTTGCTTAGAGTCACACAGCTAGATGTGGGAGGCGGAACCAGGCTTCAAAGCCAGGCTGGCAGGCTCTCCGAGTCAGTGCTAGTCCCACTACCTTCCTCTGGATCGAAGTGATTCTCCAGGCTGTTCAAGTGGCAGAGCCCTGAAAACCAGTGTCCTTGGTTGAAGAGTGACAGTACATTCCATCATAGGAAGTTATGATCAATTAAAATGAAGAGCTAATTTGAGTGTGTTGTTTACACGCAGCATAAAATCCCAACCATGAGCCACTCCTGTTGCAGACAAAGACAAACCATTAGGGTACATGGCCGATTCTTTTTAAGGTTTTTAAGACTCATTGCTTGTGCTCTGTATCATTAGTAACTGACAGCAGTTGTAGCATCAGAGGTTTAAAAACAATTGAGAGAGGAAATCCTTAAATTGAGCAATTCTACCCACTAGCTTAAATTCTCCCCTGTGGTTGGAAAAACCCTGCTGCAGTTTTGATGTTTAGGGGAAACCCCTCTACTCTGGTTTAGGGAGAACCAGTATTCTGTAGGAACAGTGTTGAAGAATCACTGTTTCTCAGCCCACAGGGTTGCAGAGAGGTGTAGCAGTTGTTACTTCCCCCTATGAGCCGATGGCAAGTGGACTTTCCTGGAAGTGATTATGGAAGTAGTGTCAGTAAATACAGTTGACTTAAACCACCAGATTAAATTTAAAAATTCAAATTTTGTCATTTCTGCACTTTGGCAGGTGATGAGTTGACAGCAAGCAATCTCTGGGTCACTTCCTCTCTGCCTCTCTGCTTGTAGCTGTCACTTTGGCTTGATGACATAGTTGTTTTCAATACGTGTCTGTCAGTCCAAGTATCATTCTGGGTCTAGGTAGAATTTTAAGACTAAGTCTAACTAGTCTTATTTCCTCTTTCATCATTGAAGAGTTAGAGTCCAACAAGAAAAGGGACATTTATTTTATTATTGAAGAGGAAGAGTCCAAGAAGAAAAAGGACATAGGGGACTTACTCAGCTGATGTAGAGTCAGAACAGGGAGAGAGACCACAATAGTCTAGATCACAGAAAGTGCAGGGGTGAGGGGGGTGAGCCTAAGGCTGGCAGGAAAGGCTGCCGTGCCTGGTGAGGTTAGCTGGATCAAGCCCGCTCTAGGTTTTAAGCAAAGAGAATAATGTACAAATGCATATGCCTATACTGGTTACAGATTTTTCCTTCCTTCAGTTTCTTGGTTTAGTAAAGGAGCACATTTCTCAGAGTTTAATTTAGTGAGTAGGATGCCCTTAGATTATTATGGTTCTGGCTGGAGTCCCTGCATTTGGGGCTGGACTGGACTGGTTTGAAGGAATTGTGTTCCCTCAGCAGATGCTCTAGGGTTCAGAATGATTCATTCTTTATTCTTCATTCAGAGGCCCTTCACCTGGCCATGGTGGTTCACTGGTGGGGCAGCTGGGCCCTTTGACCCTGGAAGAGCAACCCAGCTACCACGTGGAGGCCTGCAAATGACCCCAACTCCTCAAGTAGCTGGATGAGTGAGGCACTGGATGGTGGTTCGCTGAATCAGACCTTCTGGACCTTTCTTGGGCTAGAACAGTGGTTCTCAACAGAGGGTGATTTTGCCTCCCAGGGAATAATTGGCAATGTCTGCAGACATTTTTGGTTGGCATAGCTGAGGGGTAGGGCTGCTTCTGGCATCTAGTGGGCAGAGGTCAGGGATGCTAAGCATCCTACACTGCACAGGACAGCCCACACCAAAGACCTCTCCAGCCCCAGAGGCGGTAGTGCTAAGGTGGAGAAACCCTGACCTGGCCCAGAGCACCTGACTCCTCCTCAGAAAATGCCTTCTCAGTGGGCCCTGATGATGAGGCTGATGCCAGTCCTGGTGGTAAGCACCCAGGATCCTGATCCTTTTCCTTCCTGTTTAGTAAAGGCCGGGTTTTACCCTGTAGACACAGGCTGTTGGATATTCTTGGCTATTGATTAAAGGAGCGGAGTCCCTCGGGCTAAATGTGCATTTTCAACCGCAATAATATCACTTCCAGTGGGTAAAATGTGTTCTTGAGGGCAAACCTCCCTTAACTTTGTAATGTATAAAGCACAGGTATTCATCTATAATAATAAAAGTGTAATATACTAATTAGACCGGACAGCCGAACGACCTTCCGGACATCATTCCAGATGTCCTTCCAGATGAAGCTGTGGTGGCAGGGGCCAAGGCAGAGGCGGTTAGGGGTGATCAGGCAGGCAGGCCAGCGGTTAGGAGCCAGCGGTCCCGGATTGTGAGAGTGTACAGGCTGGGCTGAGGGACCCCCCACTCCATGCATGAATTTTGTGCACCGGGCCACTAGTATAATATATAAACAAATTTATAGTATAGCTGTGATATTACAATGTCATGGTGGGAGGTGTTTAGAAAAAAGTCTGAAAAGTCTGGGAGGGGCAATAATTTAAAAAGTTGAGAACACTGGTCTAAAGTAAAAATGTCAAAGTCCAGAAATTCATCAGCATTCCTGGGTTTGTGTTTGAAGTTGGCCTTCTGAGGGGACAAGTAAGTCAGCCCTGATTTTATATGCCCCCTCCACACCCTCTTGACACTTATCTTTGGCCTGAAGATGGGTCTATGTTTTGTGCCCATAGGAAACAAGTCCCTCATACCTCTCTCTCTCAAGCAAGGAGGTCTGACTGGACTGTCTCAGGAGGGAGTTGGAGGCTTGCCTGTTGGGAGAAGTGAGGTGATGGCATAGGCAGGTGGACAGTGACCCAGAGTGAGCACCTGGTTCTTCCTCAAGGGAGAGAGGAGGGAGGGCTTCTCCTGACGCTCGGCCATTACCAGAGAACCTGGTCCGCACACTTCTGTCCGCCCTCGATCTGTCTTGACCAGCTTTCCTCTGCTACTTTCCTGCAGGGGAACAATGGCCTCAAACCCAAGGACAATGAATTCACATCCAAACCCTGGCACTGGCCTGTCAACTACCAGGTAGGCCAGAGGCTAGAGCTCCTCCCAGGACATGGTGCCAAGAAAGAGACTTGGTGGAGGTGGGGTGTGCTGGGTGGCTGGGTGAGGCCTCACGCCTGGCATGGGGTGGCCAGGACGGGGCTCTGTTCTTCCCTGGTTCTGCCCTGCCTTCCCAGAGAGCTCACATTCTGAGCCTCCCGCCCAGGCTCCGTGTCTGTGAAAGGTGACCAGTCCCCTCGTCCTGGAACCTGTGCAGCGGGGATGAGCCGGGCCCCAGATCAGCAGTGTGTCCTCTGCTCCACAGGGCCTGCGCTTCTCGGGGATCAATGACACGGACTTCCGAGTATACCTGCTCGGCAACCCGGTGAGTGCCGCATGTGCCCCATACACCCTCGGGCCGGGCCTGTGAGAGCGCAGCTCTCCTCTCACCCTCTTGTCTCACTTCCGTGCAGGTGGTTTGGTGGCTGAATCTGCTGAGCATTGCCCTCTACGTCCTCTCAGGGAGCATCATTGCCGTCGCTGTGCAGAGAGGGGCACATCTGCCTCGGGAGGTTGAAGGTCAGGTCCCTGGGCCTCTCCCTCCTTGACCTGGCAGCTGGCAGGGAGCCTGCAGTCAGGGGAAGGCCTGCCTGCGGATGGGCCCCTCTTCCCCTTCTCCTTTGCTTTTTAAAGCTCACAGTCTCCGAATGCCTGGTGCCGTGTTCAACACACATCCTCCCAAAAACCCTACAGGGTAGGGATCACTGCCCCATTCTATGGACTAGGAAACCAGGGCACAGGGGTTAAGGAACTTGTCCCAGGACATATGCTAATAGGTGACAGAGCTGAGGTTCAGACCCAAGCAGCCCGAGTTCAGAGTCTTCACTTTTAACCTCTGTGCTCTATACAGAGCTGCTGTCTTTTCTCTTCTGCCCCCTCTTGTTCCGTGACCCTGTCTTCTAGTGGGGAGAGAGGAGCCCCTAGGGCATGGTCTGTGGGTTCCCATCCTAGTGCTGGACCTGGTAACTTTAGCTACCAGGCCACGGACCATAGCATCTAAGATATTCACCTGGGCTGCTTCGGCCTCTGCAGCTCCCTGTCTGAACAGCAAGAATCCCAGACTCCCTTCTATCCCACCTCCATCCTCCCCTCTGACTCACCTTGGCCCTGTCTGCTGCTGCAAACATTTGTGTGGCAGCAAAGATGTGGGCAATGGAGGTGGGGGAAGCTGTCTGTGCGGTGTGTAGGATTTTGGTTTCTTTAGGGACGGTGCTGCCTCCACTGGTTTTGGCACCCCTGCTGTGGGTGCTGAGGCCTCACCGGGCTGGGTGGGTGGCAGGCTGGGTGGGTGGCGAGCAGGGCTCTTGAGAGCCAGCTGCTCCTCTCCTCTGCCAGCTGCTGGAGGTGTTGGGCTTGGTCCAGGAGAGGGAAGGAAGGCCCAGTAGGGGATGTGGCCTGTTCAGACACACAGCAAGGACGGGGCAGAGCTGGGCTGGAGCCCAGGATCTCCGCCCCTCCCTGCGCTGACTCGGGCTGTGCTCCTTGGGCAGGGCTGTCCCAGGTCCTGCTGCGAGGAGGCGGTCAGCTGTTGCTGGGCTGGGCGCTCCACTACTTCCCCTTCTTCCTCATGGGCCGGGTCCTCTATTTCCACCACTACTTCCCAGCCATGCTCTTCTCCAGCATGCTCACAGGTCAGACTGCCACCTGGACTGGGTGGAGGGCGGGCAGGGTGGGGAGGAGGCCGCCATGGAGCAGCAGGGCCATCCGACAGGCTGTGCCAGGTTTCTGTCCTCTCACTAGGCATTCTGTGGGACACTCTCCTGCGGCTCTGTGCCTGCGGCCTGGCTGCCTCTTCTCTGGCCAGCGGTGTCCACATGGGGGGAGTCCTGAGCCTGCTCCTGGGAACTGCCTACAGGTGAGCCTCCCCTGCATGTCGCATTGCTGCTCCCTGGCCCCACCCCGATGCCTCAGGCCTGGATGCATTTTAGAATCCCCTGGGTACTCTCCACGGGTGCTGGTGCCTGTGCCCATCTTCAGACGTTTGATTCACTTGAGCCCAGTTTGGGCCTGTCAGACAGTTTTCAAAGCTGCCAGGTGATCCTAGCGTGCAGCCACGTAGGGGAAGCATGGGGCTATCCTTTGCATTGTTTACTATGCCATTGGTTCCCAGCCTGGTACCACAGGCACACCTGGAGGGTACCCCTCTTCCATCCCAGTGACTCCCTCCTGGAGCAGTGCTCACTGGGGTGAGGGTGGGTCCAGGGGTACAGGGTGTGTGTGGCTCAGAATAACTGGAAGGAGGGTGTTGTTTGGAAAGCCACGCCTCTCTCCACCTTGCAAGTCTCATAGATCCCCTGTTGAGAGGCATTGGCCTGTAGGGGGCCGGGGGCAACATGAAAACGTGAACAGGGAACGGTGACCTGTGACCTGAGAGCATTTCCACGTTTTGACGAATACTCAGGCCAGACAACCCATGAGCAGACCCCCTGACTGGTCTCTGTCCTTGGCCTCTGGGGGAAGAGCCCTTTCCTGTACTGTCACTAAGTCAGCATCTATACGGTCACAGGCTACAGCCGCCCGAGGGCAGGCGAATTCAGGCAAAGCTGGGGCTGGCAGGGAATGGATGTTGTAGGTGAGAAGATCTAAGGAGGCCGGCAGGAGGAGATGCATTTCAAAGATCTGTAGGGCAGTTGGCTGCTTGTCTCCACAAATGCCAACTACCTCCTTCTGATTCTCTCTCACAGCTTCTACCTCTTCCATCCTCTCGCTTACGGGATGGTTGGTCCCCTAGCCCAGGACCCCCAAAGTCCGATGGCAGGACTAAGGTGGCTGGAATCATGGGACTTTTGAAGCCACAGCCTTAGTCCTGGAACTTCCTGGGGACAGCCAGCTGTGGAGCCAGTCCCTGAGCCCTCCCAGCTGTGGAGGAAGCTGCCCGAGGAGCCTGAGGAATTCACTCGCCTGCAGGACCAAGCTCTAGGAGCAGACCTGGAATTGAACCCAACACTAGAGAGCCACGGCTGTGCCTGCAGATTCCACTGCTGGGGATGACTCAGCACCGAGGATGTCTCTTAGGCCGCTGCCCCACATGTGCAACATGAGGGAAGATGAGTGTGCGAGAGTGGTGGGAGTGCGAGGTGAGGGCACGTTTGTCCAGGCACCTGTGGAATGTGGACTGTGGCTGCGGACAGCTGTGTCATAAACTCCAAGAGAGAGGCCAGGGCTACAGTAGTTTTTTCTGGTATTTTTTTCACACTGGATTTGGTTTGTAAGTAAGACCCAGCAACAATTCTCTGACCTCCAAGAGGGATGAGAGCCTGGCCCCATCTTGGGACATCAGCAGTGGCAGAGCAGAAGGGACTGGCGGAGCTGTGCTGCCCTCCTCCTCACAAATAAACCAGTGCGCTGCATGCCCCTGAACTGGTGGGCGGCCCGCAGCTGCTTCCCCGCGTGGCTGCTGTTGGGACAGCTCCTGTGTGGCAGCAGGTGGCTGGACTTCCTGTCTGCGGTGGCCACAGCGAGGCAGCTGAGGACTCGCCACATCTGAAAATGTCACCCCATGAGATTGGCGGGAGGAATGGCGTCCTATCCTTGGCTACTCTGTGTTCCAAGGCCCTGGGGGTTAGAGGCGGTTTCTCGCTACCCATCCTTCCCTCTGCATCCAGCTGTGAGGACAGGACAGATGCATTCTCCTGGTGGCTGGGAGAACCATTGGGCCCCTTGCTGAGCAGCCACGGCAGATGTGTGGCAGGGCAGGGATCTGTGTGGTGCTGGGCAGGGGTCACTCACTAAGTGTTCCCTATTTTTACTTCTCAGTTCTCCCCTGCTGACACCCTCTACCACTCCTTTTCATTTCCCTTTCTCTGTGTCTCAGTGTCATCAATCTCTTTTCCCCCCCCAAAGACCCGGAGCACCTAGAAATGCATTAAAGCTTCACCTCTCTTACTTTGAACCCAAGCAGGAAGCACAGAGCTGTTCCTTTCACTTCCTCCCCAAATGAAAGGGATTAAGAAAGCCCTGGGGTCCCAACTGAACCAACCCAAGGCCAGCCTTCCGCCTGCCTCCCTCTTCCCAGTGCATGACAGAGTATTTATTTTGTCTCAGAGGACTGTGATGCTTCAAGGTTAATGCCCAATCTGCCACACTCCATCTTCCCTCCTCTGTAGCCCCTACCAACTCTGACAGGGTCAGAGCTCTTTAGAACATCTTCGGAGGCGGTTGCCACGGAGACTGGAAATTGGTCCTGGGGACAGGCTGTGCTACCTACTGGGTGATGGGAAGGGAAGCTTCTGGCCATGCTTGGACGTTGAGACCAACCATCATTAATGTTAATAGAGGAAATATAGCAACATCAAAAGCAAGGCAGGTTTGTTAATTAGATCTGGGGCCTGATGACCTCCCTCTCCCAGGGCTACAGCCCTTTTGACTTCCCCCAGCAGGAAACACTGCCTGTGTGCTGAGTCTGGGCTGCTTGCTTAATTGCATTTCTGGAAGGGAAGGAGAACAGGATGGAGAAACCTCTGCTTGCCCTTCCACTCTCCCCTCGCCCTCCCCTCTTCCCATCGGTGGAGTTGGTTTCTTCTGAGCTGGGTCAGGGCAGCCATGTCGGGGGGCTCTCCTGGAGGTAGAATGCAGGAGTCGGCGCTTGGCTCTTAGTGAAGAACAACGGCCCACAGTGACATCCAGGAGGTGGCTGGTGTTCCCTGTGCCTTGTGTTTCCCAGTGGGGACTCGTTGGAAGGGAGGACTCTGAAGGAGTCAGCGGGGCAACCACTCTGAGTGAGGGTGAGGAAGGAGGAGTCGCAGGCAGCTCCCTGCCCATCTCTCCTGCTGATTTGGCCACACTGGGGCCAAGGGTTCCTCTGTCTCTTCCACTGCTTTGCAAGGGTTGGAGAAGGAGACTTGTCTGCTCATTCCCTCTTCTTTTGCCCAGACTGGCAGACACTTCTCTGGGGACAAGGCCACATGGCTTGATGCAGCTTCAAGTGCTGTGGTTCTGTTGCTGGGAGATGCGGGGAGAGGGGCTGTGGGGTGGTGCTTTGAAATGGCCTCCAGCCCCCAGGAATTGGCAGAAATGTGACATGTCCCACACACTTGCTGGTGGAAAAAGAAGACATTGGTTAGAAGATAACCTCCAGCCAGCTTCTTGAGCCACATTTTTTTAAAAAAGTTTCCACAGGTCATTTACTTTTGTAATAAATAGCTGTTATTTTGAATGCCATTGTTCTTGTTGCACTTAATTGAATCTGACTCGCCCTCTGGCTCCTGGAAAGAGGAGAAGAATGTTTTTTATTTTCTTTTTTATTTCTTATTGTTGACAGTATTACAGATGTCTCCCACTTTCTCCCATTTTGCCCCCCTACACCCCCCTGTCCCTACCCAGGCCTTCCCCATACTATTGTGTTTTCAGTGTGAGAACCATTCTATTGTGTTTCGTGTCTAGTCTGAGGCCATTCTAATTCCAGCAGAGGCCCTGGGCTGGGCAGGGGAGCCTGATTTTACCCCGGGGGGCATTTGGGCCCTCCCATTAATAAGGTTACCTGAGTAATGTTGGTTATTTTGTTTTATATAAATTTATTTCAAAGTAACTAGAAAGCTGGACCTGATTTTTTTTTCTTTTAACTTGCCCACACCAATGTAGAAAAGTGGGAGAAAAGCAACAGTCCACGACTTAGCTGAGTGGCCCAGCATTGTAGCAAGTTCCATTCCGCCCCCATCTTGACAGGGGTTGTCTGTTTTCAGGAGAGATATTAAGGGTCCAAAGCAGGTGAGAGCTGATGTGTTGGACAGCAGATGGGGGGTGAGATGGGGAGGAGTAGCACTGTACTGTGAAATTGGGGGCTTCTGGGCTAACTAACCACCCGCCTCTTAGGACCACCCTCCTCTTAGCTGGAGGCGGGGATGACGGGCCATGCAGACCCTCAGGAGATGGGAAATGCTGAGGGCAGGTAGGTTAGAAGAGGACCGAACACTTCCTGGCTGGCACAGCTTAGTTTACCAAGTCCCGACATCTGTGACCCTTGTCCTCATAAAGGCCTAGTGAAGTCATTGCTGGTTTTGTCCCCATTCTACCCATGAGAGATTAAACTACTGGCCTAAGGTCCCACAATGAGTGATTAGTGGAACTTGGCCTAGTCACCAGGTGGGCTTTTTCTGCTTCTCCAGCCTGGTCCTGGGGCTAGAAGCACCTTCCCAGAACAAGCTGGCAGACCTGGGTCCCTGGGGAGAAGGCCTGGGCCTAGCTCAGAGGTGTGCAGAGTCCGCCTGCTTTGCACATTCTGCTTAACACATTGACAGCTCATTGGGGGCCCGGTGTTTCCTGGTGCACCCAGCCTCTGGTTTCCGGGAGGGAAAAAGCCCTGATTTGTAGCATTTGCCAATTCTCATGGTGTAAATACTCCTACCATGTCCTGCCTCAGGTTACCAACCTGATGGCACTGTAGGAGTTGGAAAGGTGCAGACACTGGGCTCTCACAAGCCATCTAAGGAGCCAGTTCCAATACACCCTTGACCCAGACCCAGTGACCTTGGCTTGGTCTGAACTATGGAGATGACCTTTTGGTCACAATCCACTAAAGTGAGGGAAGCCGTGGAGCATGGGGGCCTAAGGATGGGCCAGAGTGAGACCTGAGGCCAAATCCTGGGCCTGCCACTTACTATGATCTCAGGTTAGTTACTTAACCTCTTTGTCCCGTTTCCTCAATGGTAAAAAGGGTATAATAAATAGTACCTACTTCGTAGAGTTATTGTGAGGATGAAAAGAGCTCATGATGAAAAAAAGATGCAAAGTGCCTTGTACAGTGTCTGGACATAAATGCTCAGTAATGCCAGCTCTTTGTTATTGGTGGTGACTGATCCCAGTGACAGCACTGGCTCCAGAACAGTATCTGACTTCCTCGATTAGAACCTCCTGCCCCAATCATGGGCAGGGAGGGGAGCTCCTATGACTTTTCCCCAGTCACTCAAATATGGATTCAGACCCTGCATCTCTGGTGGGAATGCTTGGTCCAGCCAGATCCGCGGGCCTTTTCTCCAGGGGAACAGAAGTTAGAGTGCACTCAGCCCTCCCCTGCCTCCTCCTGGTCCGAGAAAGGCAGAGGGAGTGCTGACTTCACCACCTACGTGCTAAGGCCATTAACGCATCAGACCCCAGGCCCTGTCCCACCGAGAAAGGAGGCCAGAGGGTCCCAGTGTAGACATTGCCAGGACATGTAAACTGGGTGGAGTGGGAAACCTCTGAGGAGCCAGCTGGCCTGCAAGGGGCACTGGGCATCTGGGCACTGAAAGAAGGTAAAGGTCGCTTGAGACTTGACCTTCCCTGTGACCTGCTGTACCTGGCTGCAGGGCCAGGGGGTGCCATTCTGGAAGACTAGTCCCTGAGCACCCTGGCCTTCTCCCCTCAGCCTCCTGTCTTTGTGCTCCTACATGGGCCTCTCTTAGACTCTAGGACACAAACCAGGCTGCCTTACAGCCTTGTTCTCCCTGCTCCAGGCCAGAGAGCTGAGCTGTGTGGAGAGATGGGGGAGAGAGGACTAGAGGTACTCAAACTCCTGGGTCCTTGGAAGAGGGAGAGCAGCTGGACGGGTTCATCAGGCTCAGTTGGATGCAGGAAAGGCGAGTTCTGCTGAGGCGCTTCATCCGGATTCAGGGCCAGAAGGAGAAGTTCTAGAAGGCAGGGACTCAGCACTCCATGCCTAGCACAGGGTCGGCCGTGGAGCTGCAGCCTGACCATAACTGATGGCCCCAGAGCACCCGCCCCTCCTTCGTGTCCGTGAAAACAAAGGCGGTGGACCGAGAGGCTGGGTATGGAGACCCAGCCCAGCTGTACACTGAACACAGCTGAGGACACAGCGAAGTGGACAGCCTGAGAGGAGATGGGCTCCGACACTCCCAAATAATGAGAAATGGTGAGCAATGTGCCTGCTCTCCCAAACCTGGGCCACTAGGACTTGGTGGGGCTTGAGGAACCTTCATGACTGAAACAGGAAAGTTTGGGTCTAATTGACAGGTGGCCAACTTTACACCCTGAATGGCAAGCCTGAGATTCTGGGCCTGAACTTCTATTTAATAACATACATAGTACTTCTATTTAATCTTTTAAAAAATCTATTAAAAATCGTGGGATGGCCCAGCCGGCGTGGTTCAGTGGTTGAGTGTCTACCTATGAACCAGGAGGTCACGGTTCAGTTCCTGGTCAGGGCACATGCCGGGATTGTGGGCTCCATCCCCAGTAGGGAGCATGCAGGAGGCAGCCGATCAATGATTCTCTCATCATTGATGTGTCTCTCTCTCCCTCTCCCTTCCTCTCTGTAATCAATAAAAATATATTTTAAAAATCATGGGATGGTAGACTGTTCGAGCTTAACTCCCTCAAAGTCCACATAAGGCGATGCTCACAGCTGCTGCAGCCGAGACCCCGCCCTGACACGCAGAACTGGGGCTGGAGTTGGAGCCCAAGGGTCTCTACGCATGGAGTCTCGGGAAAACCCAGCCTGGCTGGAAATGGCTGTGGTCGGGCCCTGTCCCTAAGGGTGAGTGCCCCTGAGGAGTGGGGGTGTCTCAGTCAGATCCAGAACCAGGGCAGAGGGCACCCCTAGCCTCAGCCTAGTCATACAGGTAGCGGCCCTGGCATCCCCCGGTCTGACCCTGGGGAGGAGGGGAGGAGACCCTGTG